TTGGGTACGTTCTGAGATTGTGTCAAGAATGGTTAGATATTATCTTTATGAGGGTGATTCTTTGGATTACGTTTGTTAGACAGAAATGAAAATCTACTTTCAGCAATGCTAATGCATAACCTAAGTGAAATAACTTTGTTTCTGATGAATGTTACCTCCTCTCCCATCATAGGAGAGGTAGTATATATTTAAGAGTAAAATACATTTGCTGTCTTAATGTTATTTTTTATGCTATTAAAAGTTACTTTGAGTAGCAGAGTGGTTTTAATCATTATAAATATAGACAGTGACCTATTTGCAAAGATTGTCCTGTCTTTCATCCTCTTTAGTAATTGACTATTGCATAAACTGTGAAGCACTAAAGGGGATTATCACTAGGATGGCTGTTTTGCTTTGATTAATTCTTAGTAGTAAGGTTCTTACAAAGATGTCTTTCTGTCTTACCTCTGCAATTTCTGTGGGATTGCTGTAATTTTTTTTTAATTGAGAAAACAATTTTTTTGAGTGTGTTTCTGTAGAAGATGTGGGAGCGTGTCTTCTGGAGATCGTGGCATTCTTGACTTTGTCACTTGGTTGAAAGACTGGTGGCAGATCATTAGTGTTAGACTGCCCTGCTATTACTGGTTTTGTGGGGCCCAAAATTAATTAGCTTCTATTATAAGACACTTCAAGATATGATGGCTTTTATTTCATTCATTTGCCCAAGGAATAATTTGTCTGTATGAAGGAGGCACACTATATACAAGAGGTTTTTCTCTTAATGGAACTGAGCATGTTTGCAGATTCATGGTGGCATGTGTAATGTCATATTTTGAATTATGTTTTAAGTAGCATCTTTTTCAATCTCTTAACTCTTTATAAGCCCATTTATAATAAGGTGAAGAATAACTTTCAATGACAGAGAACTAAAAGCTTTATAATGTAACAAAATCTGTAAAGCAAAACGATTTTTTTTTTTTTTTTTTTTTTTGTAATTCCAGTAATTGCTGCTAGAACTCTGTAAACAGCTTGAAATGTTTTCTAAGTTATATCAGTAACTGTGGATATTGTCTGTCCAGAACCACTAAGGAATACTTTTCCTGGCTTTTTTTTTCCCCTACTCAGTGACAACAGGTCTGGATGGTTTCACTTTACAGTGATGCTGTTTGTGATCAGCTCTATCTCGCTATGTTTAATATGTAAGTCAGCTAGCAGGTAGTTGTCCCTGTTGGTCTGAGTAAGTAATTCTGGATTTAAGTGCCCTGGAAGAAGAAAGTGATGTGTCCCACTGACACTGCCTACAGCCAATATGCTCCTCTGAGCTGCCCTGCTGGAAGTCAAATTTATTTAATTAAAAAAAACCCCCAAAAAACCCAACTCAAAACCAAAAGAAACAAAAAACCCCTCCCCCAAAACCCCAAACAAACCCAAAAACAAAACCATAACCCCCCCCCCCCCCCCGCCAATATTATCTATATGAGGCAATTGTTGAAAAATCATAATCTAGGAGATGGGTTGGTTTTAGTTGACTAAACTTAAACTTAATATTGGAACTTAGCTGGTTCTTATACTGGTGTCTGAATGCTCAGCTGAGTTAAGCTATAGGTCTGCTTGGTACATGCAATTTTGTGTTGTGCTTTCAGAATTGAAACAAACATCTAGAGCACTGTGTCAACACATCTTCTGATCTTGCATGCCTATTTACCTTAATTTCATACAGAAAATGATAAAGTGGAACTTCCAAGGTG